TAAAGTAATTATAGTTATCCTTTTAGTTTAGTTTAGTTTAGTTTACTCTTTATAGTTATCCTTCTTTTTTTTGCTTCCTACAATATGTCTAAGACTCTTTAGAATGATGAAGCTCTCTCATTATTAAGCAGTTTTGTTTGAAGTGCATGACCTAGGATTCTATTAATGATCAGTTCTGACCCCTACACTTCCCTATAGAGTCACAGAGATAATAAGAGCAGGGAATTATTGATTGAAACTAATGTGGTTTCCTTGTAGACCTTGAGAGTCTGTGTTAAAAAAAAAATCAATCAATGCCAACTGAAAAGCATGTTAATCATAATGTATGAATAACTTATATACACTAACATCCTATAGAAACCAATATCACTACAGTGCTTGCAAAAGCAATTCAATATTACTAAAACTGTAAAAAGTAAAAACCAACAAAACAAAAACCAATCAATCCACACTTTGATTTGTAACAAAAGTAGTCTGAACACTTTGAATTCAGTTACCTGAGCTACAGCTGCCCAAATTTAAGATTTTTGGATATTGGGATTGATCTCTTGGCATTTCTCATAGCACTTACTGGACATAAAAGTAACCAGAGCATAAGAATCTTCTAATCACAGAATTTAGGTAAGCAAATTAATGATTGCCATCCTAATTTTCTCAGGCAAATAAACAAATTCTCTCATACCACTTTTCCTCTCATCAACTGTTTCTATTTTCTGAACAAAATTGCAGTTTATTTTTACCTATAAATATGTATTAGACATAAGTATTAGAATTATTGAACATTTAAAAGTTCTTTGCACACTTCTCAGGAAACTATCTTTGCACTGTAAGAAAAGCTTTGCCATAACAAATCTTATTTTCAGATTTATACAATTCTTGTGAAAGAACACAAATCATGGGTGCATCTGTATGCAAACTTTTATTAAAGACTTTTAATCATCACTTGCTTTAAAACAAATTTAAATTAGCAAAGGTACTGTACAAAACCAAAGAATAATTGCTATCTTCCAATCTCTCACTGGTTCCAGCTTAAAAACTGATGAAGCTTAACCGACACACAGGGAAATTACACTGGTGATAAACCAGATGCTATGTTGAAATAAAATATCTTATCAAACAAACTAATGCAACTGAGGTCATTGCTATAGAATTTGATCTCAAAAATGGGACTAGGGAACACCAGTTGCAAATAAAAATAATATAATGAAAAGTGCAGGCAAACTGCTGTCATAATATCACAAACCCTACATTCATGAATAAAAATTACATCATAACCAAACATACCAAATATACATTATGGCTCTGTGGGTGTAGAAATGAAGCAATCAACACTAAATCAAGCTTTAAATCAGGGTGAATATCGATGGTTTTTTTTCAGAATACATTAGCAATCTGCTATAGTTAAGACTGCTAGAAAAAAATACAAATTAAATCATCCCTCTCCATCATACGGAAATATTTCAAGAAATTCTCTGTTCTTCATGTACTGCTCAGACCAAATTCTAAACATTGTATTTCCATTTCTAAGAATTTCAGTTTTATCTATTTGACATTCACTGTGTTTCCTTTATTAGGAAAAGACCTTCGGTGATGCAGCAGTGGAAAGAAGAGTGGATTTTGATAATCAACTCAGGACTTACTCTAAGAGCTATGTTGACAAGTTCAATCTCACCCAATGTTTGTAGGGTTTAAGAGCCCTTAAATTACCTACTCCTTTTGCTGCAAGAATTGACACTTGCATTTCGAAGCTCCAGGAAATATACTACACAATCAAATATATTCCCAGGTACTTCCTTCCATTGAACATTGTACAAATGATAGCCAGCTACAATACAATGTATTTTAAGGTTGTAAAAATTACCAGCTTTAATAATGAATCCTTAAACCACTCTCTTGCCAGAAGATGCAACAAAGCTGTTCGCTAATATTTTGTCACTATCGGGTTAGCAGGTCACACTTACTATGCCTGCTTCCTTCACGTATGGCTTTGCATTAAAGGTCTAAGGTCTACCATCATATTAGAAATAATCTCTTTGAAATCAAGACTATATAAAGAATAAAATTAAAAGAAGCAAATTTTTGAGGGTTTTTTCCTTTTTGATAGCAAAAATGAAATGTCAAATAGCAGTTATATACTTAACATGAACAGTAATACAAATGAAGAAAAATTTGCAAAAGTACATTCTACATCCTATTTAAGAAAGCTGAGAAGGATTTATTTGTTTTTTTGAAAAATGAGATTCTTTATTGCAAAAAAAACCAAAAAAACAACCCAGCAATTATGTTTGCTTGTTACATTCCTAAATCAGCAGTGTTTGACTTAATATTGGAGACAAATTCAGCTTTCTCCTACATAATTTTATGTAGCATTCATATCATGTTCAGAATAAAGCATTAAGTAGTTGTGTTTGAAAAAATGTATTCTAGAAATGTGTATAAAAATATGGAAGGATTCAATGTTCATTCTTTAAACTATGAACCTGGTAAATTCACAGATGGATGCTTGTCAGTTTGTGGCCAAATTATCTGCCAGTTTTACTTGCAAGCAGTTTAGAGACAAGATAAAGTGCTTGTTTATTCCTTCCTATATAATTGTGTTGATGGTATGTAAAACTAAATTTTTTAACTTCATTCATGACAAAAACCTACAGATCAAAGATTTGAATTTTGCCTAGTCTGGACACTTGATATACAGTTCTAGGTATTACTAATCTTTTTGAGCTCTGATTATAAAACATCCCCAGCAGTGCTCAGGAAAATAAAGTAGCATGTCCTACATAACACGTAGTTATTCTTAGCAAAGGGCTTAACATCCTAATTATAAACATTTCACAAAATAATGAAGAACCATGTTATTATATCTTAATATGTCACAGAATCAAAGACTAGGAAGGGAACCACAAGGATCATCTTGTCCAACTTTTTAGGCAAAAACACCAGTCTAGACAAAATGGCCCATCACCCTGTTCAACTGCATCTTAAGTGTACAATACTGGGGAATCCACCAGTTCCCTGGGGTGTTTCAAAGGCTGAGTTTTCTCATTTTGAAAAATTATAATTTTATGTCTAATTGGAATATCCCCAGGAGAAACTTGTACCCATTATTCCTCATCTTTTCCATGTGACTCCTTGTCAGCCTTAAAAAAATAATTATGGTATTTAGACATAAATGTTAAAGGGAAGCTTTATTTTTCAACTGATGAACTTCCCAATTCTTTTTCCAACAAAGTATTACATAAAGAACCTTTTCTGACTACATGATCTCTAACCGTGAATCCTGTCATCCAGTTATTTTTTCATGAAATGATGATCAAGCACATTGAAAGCACAAGCAGAATTTGAAACAGACTTTCATTGTGAGTTTCCCCCAAGAAATAAGTAAAGAAAGAAAAAATATTTTCAAATATCTAATTAACTCAAAGCTTCCATATTTTGAAAACAACCTAATGTAATAATTGAAGGATGAGGTGCAGGCATGTCTTCTTAGTGACATGTGTATTCCAGCTCAGCTTCATCTTAAGACACTCACAGGTGTATCAAGGCAAGGCAGACAGTGTGCAACAAAGAGTGATATATCTGACTTATCTTAGGCAGTAAAAATGAGATAGATTACTCTGAAAGGGTGCCTTTTGGTCTTTATTGGGTATAATGAAAAACTGGAGTCATTAGCAGCTACCTTTGGATACCCAAGTTACAGCCAATCAATCTAACCATAGGCCAAAACTAACTGAGGAAAAATTAGGTTTTGTTCCCATCAGCTGGTGGAAAACTCTTTTCTTCTTGCTTAGAACTTTGTTGTTTTAAAAAAGAAAACATATATTGAATATTTTAATTGGTAGTAAGCGCTTTTCCTAAAGTTGCAACTATAAATATAATAAAATAATTCCTTTCTTAAGCAATTACATCTTATGATGTTACAATAAAACATGAAAGGAGAACTACTGGATATAGTATTGTAATATGAAAGAGACAGCTAAGAAAGTATCTTACAGAGTACTAAAAACAGTGAAAGAAAAATGCAAAAATAGAATGTGCATGACGTTCTATATTTAGCTTTGTGGGTTGGCTCTGAAATCTCCTTTTGAGCTGTCTTCCTTGATAACCACTGATAACGACCAAATTCTGAGGCAACAGTAGGGTGTTCTCTGCAATATTTTTATCTGAAGACTCAAACCAGCCAGTATTCAAAGCCAATACATGAATTGCTTATAGTTCTATACATAAGCATGTTTATATATATTTTTTTTTCTTTTGTTAATTGAGACTAGATCAAAACTTAAAATTTAATATCATTATTTTCAACATGTCTCAAATTTCATTTTTAATATTAATGTTTACTGAAAAACTTTCAGGGCAGACCACTCTTGAAGACTCTCCCACTGTTAATGTAACAGAGAATTTAATTTGTCTCAAAAAATTATTTCAAAGTGAAACATTTCCATACCTCCCTGTATGCGAGCAGTTTTCCAGCTACATGCTATCAGTGCATCTGCAGTGAATCATACAGAGTATCATTTTAAAGAGAGATGAAATACTGGACATGTGATGTACATTCAGATACTGTATTCCAATTATAGCATCTGTGCTTTCTTCAGCAGCATTAAATATCACACAGGAGCAGTCACATTAGCCTCCCAGTGGCATAAGACCTTTGAGGATTGCTTGCTGCATTTTTTTAACGTTTTAAGGAATAAAAAGTAGGGGAAAAAAGAATGCCATTTCACTGCTGATTCTGTAATCACATGCAGAATAAAATAGTACCATGCCTTTAACATTCAACTGCATATCAAGTTAAAACAAAAGTGAAATTTCCCAATGGAAAAAAATGTAATTGAAATATCTATATTATTAGTATTACCCTTTGGGTGAATTTCAATGTTATTGCCATTGTTAGTTGGGACAACATGAAAATTTCTTCTATAGCATGTATTGTTTTGTTTTTTTAGGAGACAGCACTCTTGTATTGGCAGAAACCAATTGAATAGATTTTTGCTTCTTACCATCAACACACGCTGGCCTTGCTCTTGTTGTGCCGGCAATCTGTCCTTTTTTACATGCACAGCGAGCTGTTTGTCGGGCTATAGTCCTTCGGGGCTGACTGCTATCTCTGTCCAAAGTAACAATCTCACATGTACCTGCAGCCAGCTGACCTGGAAAACAAACCAGCAACAGGTCCCAGTCACTGAATGCACCACAGGCAATCTATTACAGCCGAATAGAGCCACGGCCCCAAGTCACAGCAGACACTCCACAACAAATGGGCAGCCAGCTGATGGATATAATAAAACTAAGATGACATACAATTTTTCTTTGTGGTGGACATATGAAAAACCTGCAAACTGGTTCTATCAGAAAATGATTATTGTTTCATAAAAGCCAGAGTTGAGGTTACACAGGTTACTTTTACTTATGTTGGCTAAGTAAAGGGACAATCTTTTGGCAATGAAATGTAAATGGTATGCTCTTTACACACTTTCAGAAATGCGGTTATAAAGTATACGGCAAATAGAAAATTCCCCAAATTTCCATGAATACAATGAAGGCTTAACTGTTTTGTGTGTTGCTTTTGAAGGAGAAAGACTTTCAAAGCATTCCCATGTTTGCCAAACTGTCAGTCCTTTGGCTCTTGCACCATCTAAACTGAAAGGTAATTAATTCTCTTCCTGACTCATACTTGATGTAGCTTTTATTTTTTTTACTAAATTTACTAGATAACTGTCAAATGGCTTAAATGACACCACACCCTTAGCTCAGTAATTACTAACTTTTTATTGACTTTTCCAATATAGGTAGCTTTTCCTAGATACTAAAGAAACCCACACCACCTAATTCTGAATTTGGACTATGATATGAGAAGTATACCCAAAAGTTAAAAAAAATTATTTATGAAGAACATTAGTTTAAAGTTAATGTTATACTTTCAGAGCAATGCACTTCCTCTGGTACAACCAATAGTAGGCTAGTAGTACACCAAAATAGTACCTTTGAGTCAGGAAAGATACATTATTGAATTTCAATATGTAGAAAGACTGAAAAAAAATTCCAACTACTATTTTGCATTAGATATATTTTCTGGGGCTTATAGTGCAGTCGTAAATGTCTGCAACACTATCTGCAAATCACAAGCTTTCTACCTTTTAGTTTTTATTTATAAAAAAAAAAAAGAAAAATTAAATTCAGTTTTTTAAAAAAACGCAGTTTAAATAATATTCATGGTAAATCGTTTTTATGCTGTTGAAATAAAATGAGAAAAAAACCCAAAAATTCTATAATAACATCAAAACTAAAAAAAGTAAAACTAAATCAATCTGAAATATTTATGAATGGCCTTTAAGTCAAAAAATAAAATGCTGATTTTCTATTAACCTTTTTCTTTTTTTAATTCGGAATACAAGTTTACCCAGTCTATTCTTCTCAGAAGCAGTTAAGATGCTTTTGCAGAAGAGCAAAATATTGTAGACTGTCACCAGCACTGTGCCTTGTTCACTGCTAAGGCACCTAAATTTTATGTTTCTGTGACTCTTATACTGCAGTAAATTAAAAAATGGCAAAAATTAAGATATCAAGGATGGGTATGGAATCAGGTACTACAAATGCATGCAAATATATGACATCTAAGTAACATACATCAGGCACTTAGAAACACATATTATTTTCACAACAGTGAACATTATCGCCACTGTGTTTAATGACTCCTGGCAACTAGACTTACGGGCTTTGGTCAGTCCTGTGTTTCTACTCTTTTCCACCCAGTCTGTTAATAAAAACATCTTAGGATAAACTTCTTGATAAGAGGACTTTATTATATTCTGCTTCTTTCTTTGTTCATTTAAAAATACTGGATTAGAATGCAAAGGTTTAGCAAGAAAGATAGTGGCACATAATTTTCTAGAAAAAGACAAGGGAGGTCCTGCTACACTCAAATATGTTGAACTAAAAAAAAAACAAACAAAAACAAAACAACAACAAAAAATTATTTTTTTTGCCCTGGCACTAATATATTTCATGCTGGGTTGAAGGAGATGTATTGCTTCTGAGGAATATAGCTGTCTTGCTAGGTCATGTGAAAAAAAAAGATAATCAGAGGCATATTTAGATGCTGTTGCCTCAGGCCACAAAAAAGTGGAAGGGTTAAGTATGACACATATAAGTGTATGGGTTTCCATACTCTCCACTATCCATGAGTCTTTATACTATTATTTCTTTCATTAAAAGCTAAGATAAATCATACAATCTAGGGGAATAACTGCATGAACTCCCATTTCAGAGGAAAGAACCAGATTTACAGCACAGTGAAGGCAAATAATGGCTATAGTCAGAGAATAAAAACAATGAAGTTCTATGTCAAGATAATTTGTGAAGGCAATGAGCTTCCCAGGGACTGCAAGCAATGAGCATCAATAAGAACGCTTAATGGTATTTTCTGCTTTTGGACCTGTACAATTTTAGTTCTGCTTTGGTTTTCAGAAATGATAATTTCTTCCAGGCATAGTGAACTTATTTTTTTTATGAATTTTGAAAACTAGGATACCTACACAAAAGTAATTGCTATACACAGATATTTTATCTGATGCTTTTCTTTTTTCTATAGCAGAAGAAAATTGTAAGTTACTGTAGAGTTACAGGAGCTCTAACATATATGACATAAATATTTTCTCCTGATTGTGTCACAGGCTGCAAAGATTGCAAGCATATTGAGCACTGCAGCAGAGAGTACATCCACTGTTGCTTGGCTCTAGATGGCTGTAAAGCATGAAAGGTATTAGTTAAGGTTATGGAAGGCCATCTCCAGAGAGAGAGTCATCCTGGTGTAAAACATGCCATCTCTCTGTCTTTCATTATGTAGAGGGTAAGACTACAGGGGTACCTCACTTAGATGACGTGAGCTACTTTGGCTTTTTAACAATTTAATCTAGAAACATAAGGTACAAAGTAATGGAACTAAATGAATATGCTTTTTGCAAGTACTGAATGGCAAAAATTAGGATACCTTTAAAGTGACCTTTTTCAGAGATGTTAATGAAAAAAGGCTGTTCATTGGTGAGCCTCTGAACATGCTCCACTTCACTCCTAAAGCCAGAGAAGAAATCTCAAGGCAGCAATGGGTGGAGTTTCACTAAAGCTTTTCCAGTTCAGAGATTAAAAGCCACAGTCCATGAAAATTCATAAAGGCTTCACACTTTCATTATATTTTCTTTACATATTTGCAGCACACAAAGCAATTCACCACCCTCCAACCTAAACAAATAATCTTGGTGGAAAAAAGACAAACATCATTAAGGAACAGAGTAATTTTCCTTTTGTCTAAAATATTTTTTCCAAGAAAATTTTGTGTTTTACTCTTTTATAAACCAGAATGAAGATTATTTCAGAAGTACCATAAAACTGAAGTTTTCCAAATTAATTAGCAGATATTTCTTTGTTTTTGCCACTGTTACTATATATATATGAAAACAATTTTAATATTTGTTTTATTATTTTAATCCAATAATTAAGATCTCACTGGCAATTTATTTGATTTTGTTTTGTCACCGTCTGATTACTAAACAGAGAAAAGTTTCAGTTCTTTAATGCTCTTTTATAGTGTAGCACTGCATTCTTAAAATGCCAGCTGATCTCTCCCAACTCTCTCCCACCACAAACACAAATGCTTCTATACGGAATTATTTCAGAAAAAGGGAAAACCACAGGATTCTGAATTAAAAATGCAAGCCAAAGTAAACAAAAATTAAAAAAAATGCACAAGTGTTAAAACTTTGAATAAAACAGGACTGCGCTTTTGGCTTGTATCTTGAAATTCTTTTCAGTAACTGCTGTATACAGCACTTTGGCATTTTTTCTAAATGAAGTCCATTTGTGATCAGTCCTCAAACTGCTCTTTGTGAGACTTTCATGGAGTGTGCAGGAATCATGAGTATAGGTACACATACTTAGCAAATGTGCAGGAAATATCTTAAGGTAAAAAGAGCCCATTTTTAAAATATCATTATTGCTTCATTCTTGAAAAAAAATTGTTATTGAAAAGCTTAAAAGCAAATGGCATTTTTCATGCTTATTACTAAGACTCTTCTGTCAACTATATGTCATTGTTGAAAGAACAAATATTTTGAAAGATTTATATTTTCAGCAACAGGTAAAAGCCTTAAACAGTAGATATATTTGTATTACATGGAGGGTACTTGGAATAATATTTTAATTTTACATGGCTAAAAATATTTTTAGTCTCCATTAGGAAATAAAAATCTAAATAATCCACAGTAACTACAGCAAACTTTTTTTTAGAAAAAAATTTATGTTTATTGTAAAGCTGAAGGCTTTACCTAAAATTCATTTAAAGAAATAAAATCTAATTATGAACTAATGGAATCTGTGGGTACAATGAAAGTAAGTCTTGATCTAAACATAAAGATTTTTCCAGAGGTTTAGATTTCATGCTCGTCCAGAAAACCTACTTGTGATTTGTACATGCAGGCTTATATTATAGTTTCAGTGAACAATTTTTCCATGCATCACCAATTTGATGCCTAGCAACACAAGCTCTTTTAGTTCAAAATGCATTAAGTTAGATGGTATTAAAATTCTTGGCTAGATTCAGATATGCTTTTGTCAGTGAATACAATGCAGGAGTTGTTTCAAAATCAGATCATAGGAATACATTCAGTAGTTTTATATTACAATATTGAAGTCTTTCTGGAAACAGAGCCATGTCAATTCCTGAGCAGAGCTGAGGATCAACAATTCCTACTGAAACAAGGGGGAACTGAAGTACTAAGTGTCACTCATTATCTACAGCTTGACATCAGCCTGAGAAACAAATATTTAAAAATTATTCAATTTAAAATATAAAAAGAATACGTTTAAGCAGAACTCAATTTTTTGTCATATATCCTTCTTCAAGGACAATGTCTTGAAAGAAGATCTCTTACACTGAATATGATCCAAATCCAGACAGTTCAATTACCTTTTCTTTTTAAAATCTAGTTCATAAAGAGGGAGATTATGGCAATGAATTGGTTTGCCTCAGAGAACCATACTCATGTTTAAGCTGCAAGAGTAAAATTTTTGGAAATCCAATTAGCATTAAATAAGAAAGAAATTAAATAAGAAAGCAAGCTTCTGAAAAAAAAAAAATAAAGTAACAGGGCAGAAT